GGGGTGTTCAACCAAGATTGACAGTAGGTGGCCGGCAGGTGCTCTGGTGTAGTTTGCCCCGTCTTTCCTATCAAACATCTATCGCCCTAACGTCTCCCCCTTTTTTGTGTGTATGTTACTCTCTTGTAACACATCTACTCTTCGGCACTTGCATGTCCTTATTGTGTTGCAAATGCCGTAAAACTCGTACTAAAACTACAATGTCATGTAAATAAAACTAAAACAAGTCTGACTGTGCTAGAGTGACTCTTTATTCCCTTATATTTTTTTCTCAATTTTATTCTTTTTTTGTTTCGTTGATGATTTATTTCATTCGTTCATTTCGTTCACGTTTTCGTTTTGTCATTTTTTCATCATTTTCTGCGTTATTTTATTGATTATTCCCGTGGTTATTTAAACGTTTTTTTGATTTATTCAGTCTCCTTCTTCAGATATCCATTCTTTACTTCTTTCTTTTCGTGCATTCTTTTTTTCATCCTTGGGTTCGAACCCACCTGAAAAATTCCTTCTTTCTTACCTTTTATTCCACTTTCTTTCCTTTCTTCGTACTACACGGGTGGTTGAAGGGTGTCACTGGTAGGTCCTACTTCTTCACTTTCCCTCTCTTGTACTTCTGTCTTGCTTTTTTCGCAATAAATGACCATTATTGTGTCGATGTACTTCTCCTTAAACAAACAAACAACCTTCGCTCATTCTATAAAACTATATCATAGAATTGGTTCATCTGCTAGTGCGGGATAGGCCTGACTTTCCATTTCATGGCGTTGTTAGCTCAGTTGGTATTCCTCTGGGCTGCGGTACTCGCGGTTCTGTACTTTATTTCGATGGCGATTTCAAGGCTAGGTCGCAGTCCTAGTGGACGTGGACAGGGAATGCATGTGTCTCCTCTCTTAAAAGAAACCCTAGAGCGTTGAAAAGGGCGGAGTTACAAACCCGAACGACTTACAAATGTCCTCTTCCGCCGGCGAAGAGTCTGCATAAATTAAATGCGTACAGAGTACGCTTAGAGACTTTCGACCTCTTGTATTGTGAAGTCGTTACATGTGGGTGGTTGGTGGGTGTTTTGGTGTGCTTTGTTCCTTCTTATCAAACGTCTATCTATCGTCCCTATCTTCCCTCCTCCTTTTTTTGTGTATGTTACACCTGTAATCTTCGGCACTTCTTCAACTTAATTGTGATACAAGTGCCGTAAAACGCCACACACTATAGTCGTCACAGTTACGTCTGTTTGTCATGTCTCAAAGACAAACACAGGACACAACCCCTTGATGGACTGTTACTTAGAGGCTTGGTGTGAGAACTTGTATAGACTGTTCCACTTAACTGTCTACTGAGCTGTAACGAGAATTGTTTACTGAACTGTATCGCACACCTGTTAAATGAAATGTAAAGGGCACCTGTTTACTGAACTATATCGCTTACGTATTTGTGCTCCCCATCTGTGCTCACAGTGGTACATGTTGATTTTGGGGTCACTCGTGAATATTGGCGAATAATAACAATCTGGATAATTATAATGGTGGACGTTGCATGCAGCATGTAAAGCAGCTCATATATAGTGTCATAGAGACGGCTGGCTGTTCAACACCACCCCCCCCCCCCTCCTCTCTCTCTCTCTCTCTCTCTCTCTCTCTCTCTCTCTCTCTCTCTCTCTCTCTCTCTCTCTCTCTCTCACTCACTATATATTTGTGAAAGTTCGTCTCTTTGGTCGCCTTGCACTTTTGAACCACAGAACTTTCGAATTTGAGAAAATTAACGGTGGTTGAGAATCATTTAAAGGGTGCACAGTTATATTGACGAGTCTGAAGTCGCTATAGTTTAATTTTCAGTTTTTCGTTTCGTTCAGATCTAATCTTGGGAAACTCCGTCTTCTAAGACGCCATTGTAAACAAGTGAGGCTTCCGTTCACAAGCAGTGCACACTGGTTCCACAGTGACTTGACGTTCGATTCTCTCTAGTCTGTTCATCGAGCGGATACCCAGCTAGTACTAGAATATATATTATTATGTCTACCTGTCTGTCTGTCTATCTTTCTCAACCTCTTGTCTTTCCCCCTCTCAGTGTGTGTGTGTGTATGTGTGTGTGCGTGCGTGTGTGTGTGTGTGTGTGTGTGTGTGTGTGTGTGTGTGTGCGTCCGAGCGCGCACCGTTTGCATGTATCTGTTAATGACCTCCTACCCACTGTGTAAGTCGGATGTATGTGTAACCCAACACCTTGAACTAACGAGACAAGTCAGTCAGACCCAGTGACTTGTAGAGAGATCGCACGGATCCAGTGGAGTATAGGCCTTACTTACCTCTCCTCATCCTCTCGTGGTTGGACATTGTATATATAAAACTTTGAACAACAAAAAAGAAGCTTGTATAAGTAAGTGTATTCCGGGCTTTTCGCAAGGCTCGAGAGGAACGCACTGTTGAGCGACGTAAATGG